TAAGTAGACAACTGTCTCTCAGTTCACTTTTCGAGCATCCCAAATGGATGGTACGTATGATAATGACACACATTATACTGCCACTAGAGGAACGATCCCAATCTGATCTCGCAACTGTCACTAGTAGATCTCACAGAATTCTGTAACGTTCAGTCTAATTTTAGGTGAATTTCAGAACTGCATTCGATTTACTTCTTCAAGAAAAAATGAGCTGTTTTTGTGTGTGCAAAATGGAATTCTACCTGTCTATAGCACTTTGTTCGTGTACCTTTTCTAATTTACAAATACAGTTAAGACAAATAACTCTTGTGTTCTGTCTTTATGTTCTATCCAGGCGCAAATGGACGCATCAGTATTGCCAAACAGGTAAATCTGTAAGTCTAAAATGCAGCACCCAGTGCTTGCGTGCGATTCAGCAAAACTATCTCAGTCGACAGAGGTACGGGCCAACTACAAATATAAGGCGATATATATAAGACTTCGTTCTTCTCGTCTTACCCACTAGTGATTCGGGTAAAGGTCTAGAGTAGCCTAATTTTCGCCCTCTTAACATCACTAATCCTACAATACAGTGTCAGAACGCCGAATTCCGTCAAAAGATACAATGTTTTAACTCAATTGGTTGGCTTGTAATAACACAGCGAAGAGGTACAAAGGCAAAGAGCTTATCGTAATGGCGTATCCAGTACTTTGTTATTAGGCTATGAACTCATGAAATACTTCTTGGTGCGCTAATGAAACGAACCAACATGTGAAACCAAAAAGAATGAGTACGAAATTTCCAAGTATCTACTTGTGGCAAATATACATATTCTGTCTTCGAACTTTGTATAGATAAACTCACTATCTATTCGATAGAGTCATGTAAAGCCCACAGGAGAATTCAGTTTTCCATCCCGTGATTTGGAGTTTCAATGCGACGATGAAATCTACACCTTTTGGACAACTCAGACGTGCGCTGAATGCGCGGCCGTGTTCACGAACATTACCACTCGCATTTGGTACATGCAAAACCCTGACAACCCCCAGGTCTAGTGTGATGGTCTAACGGTGGACATTGGTTAACAAAATAAAACCTCACTGAGGAAGCTTTGTTGTGCCATAGAATTTCAGTAAGGTAAACGGTTAACTCCATCTGTGTTGAAAGCAACAGTTTAGCTACGGTGCAATCAAGCTTGGTTGTTTGACAAATGAGCCCGGTGAAACGAAAGACAAATGTAAATGGAAACAGGACCTGTCGAAAATTTAACAGAAACACTTTGAGAAGCATAAATTAAATCCACTTGTGTTCCGTTTAAAATTTCTGAGAAATTAGTGTTTGGAGATTTTTTCACCAAGCCAAAGAAGAAAAACTGTCTACACAATCTTTACGAGACGTGATGTCACAGGCATTTTGTTCGAAAGCACATTGCATACAAACGATCAACAAGTAGTAGATACCAACCAGTTTCTATTTCTTTAACAATAATTTTAGCCTACCATGAGACTAAGCGAAGCCACCTGGGTATTTAGATGTGAAAATCTCCGACTGGCAGGACACTATGCTCAGTCTCAGAAGCGATTGTGCCCAGTATGTCAACGCCCATAAAACCGAGGATTTACCTATTCGAATACGTGAGAATTAACGTATTTAGCATCACCAGTAGGTTTTACACAAAGTAAAGGCTACCGTATAGTTTGCATCAGGTTAGATTTAGCCAGGACGCCCGGTTACCACTCAAAATTTCTGAACAAGAAACAGGCATTACAATATTTGTAACTGCAAAAGATTGATAATATCACCAGCCACTAGTCTGAAGACCCTTATTCGATGTCCCGTTAGTACCTTCAGTTTTATCATAGGTCCTCCCCAGAGGTGCACCAGTTATTCCACAAATATGCATGTGAAAAGAAGCTATACGGTTGTGCTTATGGTGCTGGGCAGCTGTATCAGTCTTGGTGGTCTCGCGATAGACGATATTTTCATCCGGATTGGGAAGGCCAGAGCGGCTTTTGTGAACCTGCGTCACCTGTGCCATAGGCATGACATCAGCTTATCCGTCAGGGATCGAGTTAACGATGTTGCGATGCGCTCCATATTACTGCATGGATCGGAAACCTGGCCGCTGCGCGCCGACGACGTCAAAAAACTTCCAGTGTTTGACCACTGATGTCTTCGGAGCATTGTCCGAATCTGGTGGGATCAGCAATGCTGAAGTACATCGAATGGCATTCGGGAGAAATAACTCACCCTCGATAGATGAACTTATCACACTGCATAGGTTGCCCTGGCTCGACCACTTTCTGCGTATGCCAGTTGACCGACTTCCTCGAAGGGCTGTTTTCGCAAAACTACGTAAAGGGCGGAAGAGAGCCAGAGGCGATCAAACAGTGAGTTGGCAGCGAAGTATGAAAGCCATTACCAGAAAACTCAGCTGCGCTGATCATTGCCGTCTTCCTGGATGAGGACTCAGAGACGGAATACACCAACGGTTAGAGACAATGTCAGACATCGCCCAGTCGCGCATTTAATGGCGCTCGTGCATCCAACCTATTGGCTTCAAAATGTAGCTCCCCTCCCAATCCCCTTAATTACAACTCCACTGACAATCCTGTATTTACGCACCAATTTATCAGCCCCGGCCTCCAATGTGCAGCTACCTACCCCACCTCCCCGAATCATCGATGAACGAAACTGTAGCAGCTACGATCACTGTACTCCAAGTGCGCGGTTATTACAACTGGCAATGATGATGATGATGAGTAGACAACAACTAATTACCTCTGTCTTCCGCGTGAATCGTGAGCTACAGAGGGACTAAAACAGTATCGTGTGTAAAAGATAAACTGCTTCTAATAGTGGCTCCCTTTTCCAATCGAATCACTTCAGGGACAATAGCTTATGGGACCGAATACAATTTCATCGAGGGCTCTCGCCTACTGGTTAATTGTGCAGTAGAGTGAGCTAAATGTACGTTTGATTCACGCCGATCCTCAGTCCTGTTTTTTTGGCGTTTCATGTCAGGTCGAATGTATGGACGAAGAGAACCTTAATGTAAGGCTTCAGGATTTCATGTTTAACAGAAATAACATTTATTAAAGATACGCAGGGAGTTTTTTTTTGGGCGTACAACTAACGACTGACGATTCCCAGTCATCCTGTGAATGCTGAGCCACCACTCCTCCTCTGTCCTGAGGCATGTGAGTGTGCAAGAGATAAAACTTCAATCATCCCATGGCTCTGGCATAAACAAGACAATTTTGCGTTACACCGACAAACCAAATTCGAACACAGGTGTCCAGCGACGGTGAGCGACGGGTTTCCACAGCTGAACAACGCCGAAAGAACGTGCGATAGTTGGTCGTTATCCTTTGAAAAATCTCAGCAACAAGCAACTTAATCGCACTAGATCGATGCAGTGACGTGCCTCGTTGCACGATACTAGTGTTGATCCATGAATAGTCTAAATATCGAGACTGGCCGATGACATGTTTAAAAAGGGGATACGCAAAGGGTTTTACTTGTTCAGCTACCGAATTATCGCAAGTAGTTTATAATTATTCTACCTGATATCTTGACGACGGTGAGAGTCCTGAATGACGGCTCAAGACGTGAGATGTTCTCGTCCGATCGACATCCTCAGTTGTTTTCGACACGCGTCTCACCATTTAATATCGGAACTGCCAAAATGCAGTACCTGACTATCCACATCTTGTTATATCACGAACTGTGGTGGTTACGCTTCCTGTTTGACGTAAGTCCCCGAACGAGTTATGAAGTAAGTACCAAAAATCCAGCACAAAAATATCAGTCTACTCAAAAAATTATTATCCTCTAAACGGAGAGGTAAATTGGAAATTGCGTGGTTTATCCATGAAAACTGATTATTTTCGCGGAACTTCACTGGGTTTTCTGCAAAAATAACGTGGTGCTTACATGCACGAACACCATAAGGATAGTTAGCGACTAGTTAAGCAACAATTCCGAGGAGGCGCAATTTAAATTTAAATGCTCATCACAAAAGTAACTCAAACAAATCTCATCAAAATGATGATAATTTAAGACGATCTTGGGGATTCAAAATTTTTACAAGAGTGCTATGTTTCTGTACAAAATTTTACTTCATGCATTCCGGATTTCCCGAAAGGATTCGGGCCAGACTCGGATTTCGTAGAGACTCAAAAAGTGTGATTTTCGGGGTGAGTTTCTTCCGGCATGCTCGTGATCATATTTACTGCGTTAATGATGCGGTCGGTGCAAATTTAATGATCGCTGACATTCAATAAAATATTGCTACTTTTAGCATGTATATTAGTTTATTGTGTAAGATCCACGGCATGTTACTCAGATCAGTGGAACAGGCCCACATTCCTCGACAGACAACACTTGTTGTGACTCATCATTATCACACAAGTTTAGGCTTCATGGAGCGTGAACAGGAGGCAACCTGCCTTCGTCGAAGTGGTACTCGATATGACATGCAGAAAAAGTGGCGAAGTTGTGGAGGGCACAATTTTTCACCCAACCATTGCGGTACGTCAATGCTAAGTGCCTAGGTGACGATGGTTACTGTGTTGTATGACGGTTTTCAAAGGATAACTTCTCTACAGCACAGTCGTCTACAGTGCCTATCTGTACTGAGAAATCAGTTTACCGGATTTAAAAATTCTTATTGCAACGCATGCAGGCGGAACTACAATCAATGATCATACGCTCTACCCGGTTCAGTTCGCAACTAAATTGCTGTGATCCTCAAAGGCAATCTGATATTCTGCATTTATAAAACTATGTATTTCCGACCGTATTGAGACTGACAGGGACACAATGAAATTCGTGTCGTAATATCATACTGTTCCATAAATTGCCATTGCTTGACCCGGATGGCGCTTACTGTTTTTATTGACAATATAGGGGTAAGGACAAAACAATAGCACTCTGGATTTGAATTTGACTGAGTTCTGGACAGATCGGAAAATATCAGTGCCTTGAACTGCACCACAAACCTAGTTCTCTAAAACCTATTATTACTACCGCATTTCCCCAGATGATGACCATCTTTCGGGTGGAGAGAAGGAGGTGAAAATGAACCGCAGTTGACCAAACCATGGATTGTTGGGTACTGTTCATGGGTATCCTCTCCGGAGGTAGGAACTCCAATAATGATCTCACGGGAACTGAATATAGCAGGCTATCATTATGAGCTAATCCTATTCTTAGAAGGATACTCATTGAGGAAACTATTCCCAAGGTTGCTGAAAACTCTTTAACAGATTCACTAGAGTCTCCAGTGAAAAGAAAATTGATACGCAAAAGGGTGAGTGACAATCGCAATAGTTTGCAACAAAAAACGAGCACTCATATGACTGTTTTTGGGAAACCTCTTCACCTACGCCGATGCAAACAGTCCGGTAAGTCCGCATGATGGAGGGGGAGGCATCTGACTATTACACCTCGTCGTCACAGTATATCCTCGACCGCACTGGGATTTGAAACCCGGACAACTAAGCTGCGAGACAGTGTTACTAATGCTGCACTAGCGCAAGCTGAAGGGACTTGATTTACCATGTATGAACAGGCGAAGGACTCGAGTGACGACTTAGTAGCTGCCCTTCCTGGTTGTGTCGATCGATTGGCCTGTCTTGTCAGTGATTCGTGGCGGTGGACGAAACAGCCAAATCAATCAAGTGTGAACGCGTTTGCCTGTTCAAACGTGATAATTTAAGTGTGTGCGTTGTGGTGACAAGCTCACCTTGCTTGTCAGATGTCCGCCTGGCACAACCTAGGCTATACGGTACTGATGAGGCCTAATAAGGGTGCAAATCGAGCTCATTGATTTTACTGCTTGCTGTGTTCAGACCGAGATATTTGTTCCGGGACAGGAAGAGAACCGTCTACAAATTCTGCATCTACCTACAGTCAACAAAGGACTACTTTGGGTGGGAAATCTGGTAACCACAGAAGTAGTACCACTCTGCAACAATGAACATTTTCGGTCAAATCCTTCAACTATTTTTTATAACTCACACAGAACGAGTTTCTAAATTTCCAGGTAGGAAGGGTTATCTTCATACCACAACATAGCGATTTTTATCTCTAAACTTAGAAGATTAGACGTCAATTAAACATCAAAAACGCGTAAGTTGTTGGACACACCAACCCATGTCGATTGCTTTTGGTCGTTCCGTTCAACAGTCAAAGCAGTGAATTGCTCCTCGATTGTTCGCAGGTTGTATAGTAAAACAATAGATGTCATTTTCATATAAGGTGTTCTACTACATCGTTACCTGATTGCTGTAAATGCCATGAGATTACTCAGCAAGTGTAATACAAAGTGTTAAAATTGGTGTTTAATTCATGCGTTTTACTTCTGGGAGAAAAACGGTCATCCGGTACCTTCGTCATCCTAACAAATCCATTTAGATGACACTGTACCCCATCAGTCTTCCCCATTCTCACACCTAAGTCTTCTTCAAATTTGTGATACAACGAAGCAGCACTATAAAACCACTCTTCATTATTTGGAGTGACGAATATGATGAATCAAGGCACAGAGTTCATGAAAAGCTTGGCCCTGAAAGAACTAGAATCGCGGCGTTCACTTAGGTGTTCTGAGCGGTTCACTGTCGAAAGCCCCCGATAAGATAGAATTCTGTACACAAATTAACAACAGAACAACAAGCACCAAAAATCCTTTAACGAAATTTTCGTAACCAAAGGTGCCGATAATGTTGGGGGCTAGGGTAGTGTTTATTAAGTATGCATAAGACCCGATTTGTTAAACGCTGAAAAAACAAACCTGGAAGCTTTCGAACCAAGCTATAACCCTCGTTGGTGGACAAAACGTTTTTTTTCGATAAGATGGCTTGTTGACAGATATGGTTAGTGAAAATATATAGGCCTGTTCCAGGCTCACTTCTCCATATACGTTTTTGGAAGCTCATCAGTGGATTACATCATTTTCCTCCTTACTGGTGGCGTCCGTCCGTCATCCTTCACTCCAATGGATGCAGGCCAGTGTGTTCAAGAGACAAGCAAATACTTCAGTCGATTATACATGTGATAATGACGATCGCAGAGGCAATCATAACAGTGATGACAAGGACAAATGGAGAGCAGCTAAGATGAGTGAAATTACTAGTTATGTGTGTTGGAACAACAGTAACCCAGAAGGAAAGTGATTCTCCAAGAGCCCTAGTCTTATTGGGTTTTATGAGGCAATAGCAGCAGAATAAACAGACTGATGTTCAGGCCTATAATTCCCCCTTGGCTTCAACATCATATTTCTACCAACTTCATTTACGCGCACCGTGCATGCCCTTTTAATTGGATGTTCTTGGATTGTCCCATGGGTCACAGACCTTTTCATAAATCCTTGGGTTCAAAGCCTTTGAAAGAGGTACTCAAAATAGGCCATTCGCTCCGATCTCAACCATTAGTGTTGTTTTCGCACTAGATACCGGCTTCAAAAAAGAAAGGTCGATTTTTTGTAAAGAAAATTACTCGTAGGGTTACCGAAAACTCTCTGGCAGCTCGTGATTCAGCTTGGTGTCGCTTTAAAACACAGACAGCGTGGAAATCAGTCTACCGCGACGAAAGTTCGATGTTCTGCGACGTGGAACCGGAACATGTGAACTCTCCTGGACAAGTATGACAGATTGTAATTGAAATGAGTAATACGCTTAGGCATGCGGCTCAGATACTGTTGATGAAGTTAGTACTTCAGGTTTAGTGAAGTCATTTCGCACGGATCCAAGAATAGTTTCTCGGGTGCTGAATTTGGCTACTGGTGAAAGTGATAAAGGCGATAAAGTGATAGTCATGCGAAAATTACTCATTTGAACAGGCGTCCTCCTGTCCTGACGCGATCATTCTCGTGAGTTCACAACAAAGGACTTGGGTTTTGCTGTTATTGGGTTTCATCCGCATTGGATTTCTTTGGGGTTCGAACTCCGGGCATTGGCATGCGAGGTAAGAGCACGCTGCACGAAACTGAATTCTCACATCTGAATAGGCGATGTTGAGGTAGTTCAGTATATGGTTGTACATCTTGTGAGCAAACTCGCGCAGGATACTATGATGGCAGCTTATACCGTAGCCACAATCATACTAGACTGGAGTACCTTCTTTACAAGTTCAAATTTCAATTAGGTTTAAAGGTTTCTTTGTTATTCTAATTCGGACAGTTGACTGGCTCGACTGCGCTAAGTGCTAGTCGGATCCTCTCTATTATGACGGGATGAAATGTTGCTGCGAGCTCAGATTTTACTGGCGGTCGTTCCTCGACATTGACGTTTATAAGGTTGATTATCATAGCAGAAAAAGCTGAACCATAGTATGATTTGATTTGTACATGCGAGGGATGTGGATAGGTTGTACAGGCACAATGACGAAATTTCCTGTAATCCACTGAACATTCTCTGTGGGTCAAAATAGCAACCATATATCTGGACAAACGCGCATCAATGATCACACAAATTCTTGGGCGAACGACACGTTTGTCAGCCAACGCTTATCGATTGCAGGACGTATTCTCGGGTCTCTTGTACCACAATGACGACGTTCTTTGTTCTTCGTTCCCGCTCATTCTGAGCTGATTTGTGCGTTTATGTGTGCGCACACACATGCGCCAGACGCGTTCGCCAGGCGTGCCAGCCAGACATCGACCAAGTTTGGCTGGGGGTAGACACCAGGGTGAGACTGAGGGCCGAAGCGAACGAATTCCCTTATCATAGCAATCAATAGTCGGCCGATGAACGGCAAGCTAGCCCTGGGGTGGTGGGACTAGCAATGCCTGTGTGATCTACACAAGGCGATCGATACCAAGCAAAAAGGACCTATGGACAAGTCTGCAGTCGTGTCACGACTACAGACTGAGGCAAGGTCATTTTACCGGAGTGAACCAGACAGCGATTCATCTGATTGGAATGAAACAAAGAAAACGCGCTGTTGAAGTAAATCGCACTACTAACCTCGTCATCGATGATTCTTCAACCACGCAACGCAAAACAAAGCTAAACACGGTTTAGATAAATAGAAGAAATAAAAGTACAATTGGTGTGAGAAGCGAGGTAAACTAACTAACAAAATGGTGTAAACGTTGATATCCTTGTTCACGAAAGGTGTATTTGTGGACAGTAAAAAAATACTAGCGGGAATCTTCACATTAGGCAAGAGGGTGTTAGTTTGGGACCAAATACCCAAATCCGCCTCCGTTTTAATGCAAAATATATTCAGTAATTTGTTCGTGTTCAGTGATGAAATGAATGTCGTTAGCACAGAAAGTTATTGTAGCATGGTTCAAGAAAAGGTCCTCACCAATCAATCGAAAAACTGAAAGCCGGCTTTTTCAAAACTAGGGAACAATTACCCGTCAGAACCCATGAAGAGTGCGACAGGCGATGATCACTAATTGTCTCCACCAGTAAAACATGCAAAGGGGATATAAGCCTCTAAAAATTTATCGAATTTCGCACATAAGGTTCGCATATAACTAACTGAGTGCTTAGAAGTAACCAATGCACAAATGTGGACAGTTGATTGAATCGGTTGTTTGAAGTCTGTTTGATTCGAGAAAAAAAGAGAAGTGCATGGCGATGTTGCTGGAAGTGGGACGCGGAAATGTCTAATAAACAGAGAGATTCCGGTGCAGAAGCATAAGTGGCTTAAAAACTTCACTGAACCGCATATCAGTGAATTCATTTGCGAATTTCTTTGTAATTTTTTCACCTTCTGATTTACAAAATTTTCAATAAAACATGACTTAAACTTATCCCTCGTAAATGATCACTTGTGTATCATTAAACCTTGGCCTCTGATTTGCCAGTTACGATAACATTAATGGGGATCTCGGCTGAACCCAGGGTTTTAGGATAATGCTCGTCTATACAACGCAAATTATCAGGCGGATCATAACCGGTTTCGCCCCTTCCACGATTCATCAGGTAGGCCTAGTTTCCGAGTTTATTTCTCAGTCAAACATGAAGATGTACGCAAGCGAGGATACACACACATTTGTATATCAAGACGATGTTTTATTGGGGAAATCAATTTGGCTCAGGTTCAGCTGAATCGTGATCATTATCGACAGCATGTTATCACTGTTCAGAACTGATGCTTGGCTGTCGTATAACCATGATTCATTTGAAAGCCTTATTGTGAAGAAAAGAATAAAGGTAGGTGGAGAAGGTGTATACACCTACAGACACTTACTCAGGCGATCTGGATGGAAAGTGACAACAAGGACGTCACTGACATCAATTAGCCGCTATATCTTGCAGTGTCTCTAACCAGGCGTAGTGGGGATCACGCAGTCTCCATCCTGAAAGGCGAGCAGCACCGACAGCACCCAAACGTTTCTCGATCCCCTTCGTACCCCTTTGCGTGGTCAAGGATTGATCACCACTCTGATTTGGAGATGGAAAATAGTACTCTCTTCAGCAAACGATGGTTCGGTATACGCAACACATGTCCCAACCAACACAGCTTCTGCCGCTGGACGCATTCTTCAATGGAAGTACCCGTTGCACAGCCGAGAACTCGCTTTCTAATTGACTTGTACTGGATTCACCGACACCAACCCACACGAGCTATGGTTCTGAGACAACGATTGTCAAACACCTGAAGATGTCTCAGTTCCGCTGCTCGAACAGGCAAAGTCTCACAGCCACACAACAAAACAGCCCGCACTGTAGCTTGATACACACATCCCTCGAGACTCAAGGATACACCACTCTGACGCCATAGGTGTTTCCCATTAGCAAACGCGACCCGGGACTTGTAGATTGGTGCATTGACCTCATCTGCAACATTGTCTCCCATGGATTGTGAGTGGCGTGTTAAGTGACCGAATGTCCACCCTCACGACCTTACACTTTGGGTTCAAAGCGCATACCAATGGATGACTTTGGTCATTTCATCCAAAAACACCCGCGCATTCTCCTCTTCTTCGAAGATGACAACGATGTCGTCTGTATATTCTAAATCGACCAGATTTTCGTCACAGGCTATTTGAACACCAGGGTTTTAGCGAGCTTCCAGCGTTCGTCTTATTAATTTATCGATCACGAAATGAGATAAGAATAGAGAGAGAGTGATCATCCATAATTAAGACTGATTTGTGCACAAAAGCTTTTGGAGAGCTCGCCGTACACTCTCACACGTTCGAAAGATTGAGATTACAAGGAATGCATTATGTTCACAAACTTCCGAGACATTCGTTGATGGGCAAGCGTGCTAATGAGACCAGACCAGTCAACCGAGTCGAATGCGCCTTGGACCGCCTAAAATGGATGGTCGTTTGTACGTGTGACTTTCTTGGAACTTGACTGAGTGTGAACCCTACCTGCTTCTCCCGAGTCAACCCTACCTGCTTCTCCCGAGTCAGTGTTTCACGAGCCACCATTTTCTTGGAACTTGACTGAGTGTGACAGCACCACCCCTTCCAGGCCAGAACCCTACCTGCTTCTCCCGAGTCAGTGTTTCACGAGCCACCATAAGGTAACGAAGCACAAGTGACGCTAACAGTCTCGTAACGACCGGGTTATAGCTGGTCCTCCTGTGGTTACCAAACACACATGAGTAATTTTTCTGAAAGTATGTGCTACCCACACTCCATCCAGTTTTCTGAGAGAGTCTCCTCTTCCCAACTGCAGGCAACCGGGTCAGACAAGCGCTGACCGAGGATTTCACCCCCATCTTTGAAGAATGCAATTCATCTTCCCTGGGATGTTTCCGCGTGCATTACCAAACACAAATAAATATCTCAAATTCAGGGCTATAAGATAGTCCAGCACTTTTAAGAACTCATCTGGCGCTTTGGCCAGATTTACAAGCATCCTTTCCAAGAGCCGACCATCCTTAATACCTTCTCCGTATATCTAGAAAAAGGCACACTGTTATGCCCGATGAGTCCTTCCACTCAAACCGGTGGGGTTTCCGCATCTTTTACGCCGGAAGATAACAGAAAAGGCTTCAATGGATTTACCTTTCAAACTTGCATATTTATAAAAAACCGCTACCTCTTTGCTTCGCTGGCTATCATTCCTGTCGTCTTTTGAGACACCAGTGAACTTTTTTGTTCAGGTCTGTTTTGGACGGATCAAACATAACAACGTTGAAATGTGTTCGAAAATCTCTTCCACGTTAGGCTCAATATCGAGACAATAATTCCCTTAACTGTGTTCTTCGTTCACGACTGTGATGCATATCAACTCATCACAACCATGGCTTTCATAGAAAGAGTTGCATGTCAAGGTAACCCCCCATGTTTGCACAAGAATACAGTAGGCTCTAACATAGTCACAGCACTTTATCTATGGTTTCTAGGGCCATTCAAGGTAATAGTGTTTGTGATAGCATTGATATCTTACAAGTCAAGATATCCAAGATTGGTAAACTGTTCAGGTACTGGATTGAAACCGTACCATCCCAATTAATATCGATCCATCAGGCCTCATTGTTGTTCTTACTTCATTTTCAGGTCTCCCATTCGGCACATGTCAGGTTGTATTAAGACACTAGAATGAACCTCATCTGTGGGATATTTCCTGTAAGAGTCTTAGGCCAGTATCTTACTGTGTCAATCGCGTATCCCCTTAGGACCCGTGAGAGGTCATTTTCACTGCGTCTTCGATCAACATATAACCTCTGGATGGTAGTGTAGACCTGCATCCGTTTTTGTATGTCCGATAAGAAGTTTATCTGTGCAGTACCTAGTCGGAAAACATAGCTTATCATGGCTTTCTGACTTATCTCCAGGCCGTCGAAAGGCTGCCTCACACCTGCCAGCTGCAACAAAAGGTCAGATACCAGTCTACCAACCGACGGTACTGATAGATTTGCGATTACTTTGTCCAGCATCTCGCACCATCAGACACATTCCGTTCCATTTTTATGTAATTTGCGCATCAGAATTTCACAAAATCTTTAACTCTCACCGGTGCCATGTCCAGACAGTCTTAGTTTTCTTGCTTGACATTTTTCCAAGCCATTCCACTAGTTGACTCCATTGACCAGCCGGGCCACCTTATTGCACACCCGACACAATTCATCATTGATCACTACCGATTCGCTTCACTTATATGCAGTCTTAAATGTAAGCCAGCTTGGTTTAGCTTTCCTTCAAGTTTTCGTTTAGAATATGTCACCGTCCACTGTTCATTCAATTTTTGGTTCTACTTTCTATCGATGTTGAACTTCATACCACAGAGATATAATTCAATATTTTTTCGTTTCAGAAGATCTTGATAAACAAACGGTAGTTTTTATTTGGGCAACGTTTCGCTTTTGACACAAAAGCCTTATCAGGCCAAGTGAGCGGGCCACCAAATTGGCCAGATTATAAGGCAGACGGGGAACCAATCAGTAAGTCAGTCCTCTTCAGATTATCACACTAGATCCGTGATGAGCGTCAATTAATGGCTCTATTCGGTTAGCGAAGTTGTCAAAATCTTGCTTTCGTGGATTGGGGGGGGGTTCAAATTAATTCTGACCGGGTTTGGTTCATTAATCTTCCACTTCAGGGTGCTTCAGTTGATGATTCACTTCGGTTGCCACTGGCTGATTTTCCCTGGTCTTTGTGGGGTCGTGAGTGCTCCGACAACAATGCGGCTCTCAGTTGCCGACAACCGTCCGTTTCGCTCAAACATCTGTTTAGATCGTTGTTCAGCGTGGTGGTTTTATGGCCTCTTTTTGGTCTTAACTAGAAGAAAAAGGGGTCTGCAGTTTCCGCGAACAGCTAGGTTCTTAGACCTAGTTCGTTTGATATTGGTGAGCCTGTCCCACACCGGTGCGGTGGCCCAACATGGGATGACCTGTATAATGGGTTCAATGGGTGTCAAAGTTTCACTTTGTGCGCTGTGCGGGAGAGACCACATTTTAACCGGGGTTAAGAAATTTGTCACAGATTCATAGTTGCTCCGAGGGATTAGTCAGGAAATCAGTTGGGACACCGAGCAGACAATTATGCCACCGATATTCTAATGAAAATCTGCAAATAAACTGATAAAATTAATACATTTCAGAGTTTAGCTACAGTGTGCGTTTGCCCCAGCCCTAGTAGGAAATGATTTTACGGTTACATTTATGGAAGTCAGCTGTGAAATGGTAAGCGTTCAATTTTTGGGAATCGGCTGTTGTGTTCTTCGTTAGTTCTTGTGGTTTACCTATGAAGCACAGTAAGCTTCTCACATGAATTGTAGGTCCGAGTGAGTGAATGCCGTTTGACCGAAACCAGGAGAAAAGACTGATGCACTTCAGCTATCCCCGGAAGCATGATGCTTTGATCTAACCTTTGTAACTATCTGAAGTTTGATACCTGAGTTTTTATTCATTTTTTGACCAAATCTAGTTCTGAGTCCACATTCCAAGTTTCACCTCAGTAGGTTGCCGGGTGCTTGCTTCGCGCCAAACGCCTTCATCATGATGCTCTGTAAGTTCTGAATAGATCTAGGGGTGTCATGAATATTCTTTGTGCTCACATTATCGTTTTGTATTAACCATGTTTTCGCCCTCATTTTTAGCTTATGTACGTCTATTCTTAGACAAGTAAAGCGCTATTCATTCTACGCCATTCATTCTTGTTCTCGCGCTCAGTCAGAATCGATATTCTATTCGTAACAGGGAGGGGCTATGAAAACCTCCTATCGGTTTACTGATGAATGACTGAGCTTGCCAGCGCTTGCTTCCAGCCTATTCACCCACAGACCGCTGGTTGCACAACCCTTCCCATATCGCGTCTGTTTTTCTCAGTTGAAAAAACTGCGAAAGCCACATCAACCGATGAGTGTAGTGGTCCACCTCGTTCACTCTGATTAGTAATCGATCATAGGATTGTGGGACCGGAGGCGATGAATGTGCTCGTCTAGTATGTATGAATTTTCATATACTTATGGATTACTGTTGGCAGCGTGGCAGATTCACCAGCTGACATGGATCGTTGCTGGGCCACAGGCATCAGTGGTTCGAGGCATCCACTGAAGTACTGGCGGCTGGTGTTAAATACAGTATGATCATTGGATAGTTTCGACGGTGAGCTGGTGCTTTTGAGAGGAAAAAATCGGAGCAAAGCGATTGGTCGGGTATCTGTAAGAACTGCTTTTCAATTTCGATTTGGGGTAAAAAAAGTGCCAATTAA